GGTTTAGCTAAACAAGGGGCAGAAAGGGACTCACTTTTTTGGGCCAAGCTGTGACTGTAGTGTGTTTTCTTTCTTTTTTTCTTTTCTTTTTCTTTTTTTCCTTTTCTTGAGGTTCTTTGTTGCTCTTGGAAGATAAGCGTGTTTGTCTTCCTTTTGTAAATCTTCTATTGATGAATTAATGAAAGTGTTATTGATCAAAAAAAATATATATAGAAGAACCATGAAGAAAATCGGTTCATCTCTTCTCCCATCAATGTGGATCTTTCGTTCTGTGGTAAACCTTTATTTAATTATTTTTCTGTTTCGGAAAAGTAACATGAAACCTATCAATGGAAGCTTGAAATCTATTCTGAGTTGAGGGATATATAGAGCTTCTAAACTTTCTTTGCATTGGTGAGGAAAGCTTCTAGAAACAATGATTGTCATAATAACACCACTCAGTTAGTAAAGCAGGTTTCTGATCATTTGGCAGAGGAAGGGGACTTGCAAGAATAACGCTGGGATTGTTGACCAAGCCTAGTTTTCGTTTAGGTGGGTGATTTTGTTGTTAGTTTCCTTTGATTACCAATCAACAAAATGCTAGAAATCAGTTTTATAATTTTATTCTTTTTTAGTTGTCTTCCAACTTAACATTTTTCTAAATGTTCAGACAGTTCAAATTGGACATTCAAACTTAAACTTGTAAATCACCTGTCCCCCAGTTCCATAGTTCACTATCCAATGCAGTTGCAAGGCATCAACATTGCATTGTTGGTATGTTTCTTTTCTGGTTCTCTTTTTCTTTTTTTTCCCTTTTTTTCTTGGAGGTTATGGAGAGGGGAAGGATAGGGCAATATATAGGCGAATGTGGATTACACCCAGGTCATTTGCATGATTGTATCAATATTCACAAGGTCTAACAATTAGCAAGCAGGCATCTTCAAATATAGCAGGCACCAAAACTATTAATATATTTTTTTGAGAGAAGGTAACTGGTGAAGTATAGAAATTTATTAATCAAAAAACCAATAATATAAAATAGAACACACAAGCATTGATAAGAAAAAACAAAGTGATAGAAGAAAACCTTTTCTCAAAAACACTATTAAAGCCATCAACAAAAGTAGAAGTTGGCGCATTGTCACCACAGAATTGAGACTCCACTTCAGTGTCACTCAGCCTTGTATTATCTTCGCTTTCAGTATTTGTGTCAGCAAAAGAGCTCGAATACTCAGTAGCATCTGTCTCTTTAGCTTCAGCAGAACCAATCTCATTAGCATTGAAACAGCCAACGATATCAACATCCACATCCGATGTCTCATCTGCTGACTCTGTATGTTGATCCAACAAGTTTTCCATATCAAAGGTAGTATCCTCACAATTGTTCATACACTTCAGTCCCTTCTCATCTTGGAATGTCAAGGGAACCCTATTTGCTTCCCCTGCATCAACTTCTGGGGTGGGATCTGGTTTCTTTTCTGATTCTATATCAGTTAAGACTTGTGCAGGAGCCATGCCGTAACTATACCCAAATTCCAACTTATTTTCCTAACATGTACAACTCAAAATGTTTCTTCATAGTCCACCTGCATTTAGATCCAATTAGCAAAACTCACTCCATTTAAATATGAAATATGATAAAATAGCATCCAATTTCAATTTAATGATTGACACGCATATCTAGTGCAACCAAAAAAAAGGAAATTGCATATCTAAACAAGTACAATCCAAATTTCGCATCCATTAGAGAAGCTCTTTTGTGTTTTGTAACTTAAACTGCAAACAAACATGTTCTAAGTGTGTCACATTAGAATTGAATCAGACCTTCCAGAAATATAAGCAGTGTCAGACCCACGGTTAAAATCACTTAAGAAACAAATAGAAAATCTGAGTGAAAATAATTCAACTGAGGGCTCCATAATCCACTGCTTAAGTTAAAACAACAGAAACAATCAGAGAACAAGATAAATTCCCGGTACATGCATACAACTACAACTAGAGAACCTAGGCACTCACTCTGATAAGAAAGCCACCCACATTAAAGAGCCCCCATGCTAAGAATCTTTATGCGAGTTTAAAGGCCAAATATCGGATGCCTTTTTTTCTACAATAGTGCCTCCTAAGTCACAATTTTCTAATTACTCTACCCTTGAGAGTTGCCATCCCCCTTTCAAGTTTGATTAATAACAAGATTGTAGTTTTCTTTGTTTTTCACTTTCTAAAATTTCTTCTTTTGTTGGGTTTATTATCAACTGGACCTAGAAGATACCATCAGAACAGAAATTTAATGTGGGATAAGGTTCAATCAACACCCATTACAAGATCAGAGTAGAAAACACGTACCGGCAATAATAAAAATAAAAGTAAGAACAGTTAATAATAAATAACATAAAAAAGATGAAAAGAAACTTGCAAACAATAAATTTGATAAAACACCACAAAGATAGAGAGGGGTACCAAGTGGTGAGAGGAAGAGACGAAAAGGAAGCTCCTACTCTTTATTTGATTCGTGACCCTGCAACAGGAAGGAGGAAAAGGGTAGGTGCCGAAGAGAAGAAGACGATTGAGAAAGAAAGAAAGAGATTCACGATTCGCAACTCGGACTGAAAGACAGAAAGAGGACGGAAATACGGGAAGAGGGTCGGTGACTAGCTGACTCCCGAGTCCTGACTGCTGCCTTCCGCCATGACAGGCTTAGGCTGGGCTGGATTTTTGATCCAAGTCCAAGACATCCTGTTCATGCCAATATGGGCCAAGCCTCAAAACTCAGCCTATAACAATCCACCTCGAGAAAACTTTTGGGTGTCTCGTGTCCACCACGGTCGGATTTGTTCCGCGCCTCACACCGACCTCACTGCACGTATCAGCCGTGCATTGGGAGCATGTCCCCCATAATAAAAATTTATAATTACAGATATGTTCCATATACACGGCTGAAACGTGCTGTGAGGTATGCTCTAAGGAGCAAATCCGATCTCGTCCACGTTTGGATTGAGACGGGATCTGCTCCTCACAAATGGGCGCCTCACAAACATATCCACTGTTCATTAGGAATATCTCCCATGAATAATAATTAATAAGTACAGGAAATATTTCCTAGGATGTGCATGTGAGGCGCCAAGTGTGAGGAGCAGATCCGGTCTCATTTGGATCGGTACCACTGTTATTCGACAGCCAGGCTTAAGGAGCAAATGTATATGTTCCATATACACTCGACAGCCAGCCATTGTTATTCGACTTCATATTGGTACTCCACATGCACATACCACCGTGCATTGTGAATATCTCCCCTACTTGTCATGTATAATGTGATGTAGGGTGTATTTTATGGGGCGCCCATTAGTCCGTACTCCATAGAGTCTGGATCTGCTTCTCACACTGACCTCACAGGCACATCCCACCATGTATCAGGAACATTTTCTATACTTTTGTATAATTATTTGTAAGAGATGTTCCCAATGCATGGTGGGATGTTTTCGTGAGGTAGGTGTGAGGTGTGCTCAGTAAAGAGCAGATCCCAATTCCTTCGTAGAACCACGCCTTCAACGAGTCCAAATCTGTGCCTCACACCAATCTCACAAAATGTACCAATTAAACATTGGGAACATCTCTTATACTCCTATGATTATTATTCATGGGAGATGTTCCCAATACATGGTAGGATGTGACTGATTGCGGAACACACCAACGCTAAGTCTTCTTGCATATCAAAGATGCAATGTTTGGGTAAGAAAAAATGAAAAGAATGAACATAGAGTTTTTCTCCGGTTGGTGGTATTAACAGTTGCCGGTGATGGCCATTGGTCACAGCTTGTTGAAGAGGGAGAGAGTGAGAGTGAAAAGGGTGGGTTAAATTGGGTGTGGCAAGAGAGTGAGAGTGAGAGGAATCTGGTGAGAGAGGAGCATAAGGAATGAGGAGGGGTTATTAGTGATGCACATTGATGCAGAATCGATTCCAATTAAGGTGGCTTATTATTGGTATGTTGGTTTGCTCTCACATTGATGCAGAATCGATTCCAATAACCATTGATTTAGGGAACTGGGAGGAGGGGTTATTAGTGGTGCACAGCACCAAATACCCAAAATCTATCACTTGAGAGCTATTGCAACTAGTGTTTACCCAGGGGTACAGCAATTTGACTATTAGGTCAAATGGTTTGACTGCAAGTCGCATGCAAAACATATAAAATAGATTTTGTAAATAAAATTAAACTTGAAAGTGGCATCTAGATGTATGTATCTATCAAACATCTAAATACGTTTCAACTCCGTTTTAAGTTCTAACATGATGTGACGGGATTTGCTCTTCACACTTGGGCATCTCATATGCACATCCACCGTGCAATGAAAACATCTCCTGTGAATAATAACTTAAAAGTACAGGAGATGTATCCAATACATGGTAGTATGTGCGTGTGAGGAGCAGATCCAGTCTGATCGGAAACATCTTTCGGAGTTATACATAGGTGCCATTTACCATCAATTCTGAGGATTCTCATTCTCATAATCTTTTTCAGAAAAGACTTGTTTGATTGTCAAATACGAAATCACAGTTGGAGAGAATGTTTGTTTTGACCAAGGGTGTTTTGGAAATTAACATAAACATGAAAGAATGTTTTAATAATCATGCAACCTTATGAAATTCATCAAAACACACTCAGCAAACAAATGTCAAAGAAAGGGGGAGGAGGTACAACGTTTTGTTTTCCACTTATGCACTCAAGCAAGCACCTAGAGGATAATAGCATATTAATCAACCAAGTTAAGGAAAGTATTACTCTAAATGTTATTCCAATCAAATTACATGTAAGAACCAAAAACCTTCAGCATTTCAAGAATGTAATATTAAGCTAAATTCGTAGAAAATAATAATAATAATAATAATAATAATAAAAATGGAGGAATATAGAAAGCTTTTATTAATCATCTCAGGAAGAAAAATCCCTACTAATACCAGGGAATAATCTTGATTTTTGATTCTTGAGTTGTTACAGCCACGGTAGAATGTATAAATTGGAAAAGATAGTAACCACCGAAAAAAGGAGGAGAAATTTCAAGCGTGACTCAATGCGACAGGAACTGGATGCTGTATAATTGGGTTTGGAGCATCAGCTGAAGCTGCAACTAGTAACACTTACGCCCATGTTCCCTTGGAATGGGCTAATTAAGAAACATGTTGCCCAAAGAGCTTACCACGAAGCCCTCCAGACTCTCACTCTCATGCACCGCACTGACATCTGCCTCCTTGACCACTTCACCTTCCCAATTGCTCTCAAAGCTTGCACCAACATCCAAGCATGGAAACAAGGCCGGCAGCTCCACGGCCTCATCCTTCGTCTAGGCTTCGACTGGGATGTCTACACCAGCAACGCCCTCTTGTCTATGTACTCGGGATGTGGACAAATTCGAGTTGCCATTCAGTTGTTCGACGCAATGCCTCAAAGAAATACTGTTAGTTGGAATTCTATAATGGCTGGCTGCATCCGTAACGACCTTGCCCATGAATCTCTTTCCTATTTCTCCAAGATGATAGTGAAACCCAAATCCTCGTTCTCTGTCTCATCCTTGGCCTCAGAGGAACCTGACACCATCACCATGTGCACTGTGCTCCATGCTCATGCCCATCTTGGACCTACTGGGTTTCCAAGTGCCAAGGCTGTTCATGGTTACATCATAAGACGAGGCTTCCAAATTGAAAATGAAAAGCCTGCACCTGCAGCAATGAGAACCGAGCCCTTTGTGGAGAATGCTCTAATCCATACGTATCTCGAGGCTTCATGTTTGGCATATGCACAGAAAGTTTTTCAAGAAATGCAGCCCGAAAAAAGAGATGTGGTTACTTGGACCACCATGATCTCCGGGTATCTTCATCACAAACTAGAGAATTTGGCACTAGCAACATTCATGTCCATGTTGCAGCAGCAACAGCAGGTACGTGAGGGGAATGTATATGTAGATGCAGTCACACTGGCCACAGTGATACCGGCTCTCGGCTCTCTTCGGCAAGGAAAACAGATCCATTGCCTTGCAGTCAAGAATGGCTATGATCAATTAAACGTGTTCGTTGCAACTTCTCTTATCCATGTTTATGCTGAATTTGGAACTATAGAATATGCTGATAAACTGTTCCAAAGAGTCAAGGACAGAAATGTGGTGGCATGGACTGCCATTATCACAGCCTATGCTAAACATGGCCAAGGTGAGGATTCTGTGAGACTTTTCAACGAGATGAGACGGCAAGGTGTGACTCCAAACCATCTGACCTTCATGGGTGTCCTTACTGCATGCAACCATGCCGGCCTTGTTGACCAAGCTCAGGAGTGTTTCAGGTGTATGACCCAAGATTATGGGTTGATACCTGAAATGCATCATTATGCGGCAATGGTTGATGTGCTGGGTCGAGCTGGGCGATTGAGAGAGGCTCTGGAATTTATAAAGGCAATGCCTGTAGATGCAAGCTCGCCTGTTTGGGGGTCTCTGCTAGCTTCTTGTGGCTACCATGAGGATGTGGAGCTGGCACATGAGGTGGCCAAGATCTTGTTAAGCATGGAACCAGACAATCCAGCAAATCTGGTGCTCCTATCGAACATGTTGGCTCAGAAGGAAAGATGGAGTGATGCCAGTGAAGTCAGAGAGACAATGAAACGCCTTGGTCTGAGAAAGGTGCCTGGTCAGAGTTCTATCCCTGTTCACTAACCAAATTGCTAAATGCAAAGCAAAAGAAACAAATCCCAAATCCTTTTTTCTTCACCTCCTTTTAGTCCGACTAGTGTACCAATGTACCATAACACCAATAATACAAATTACAAACTATCTAATTTACTTTGATGTCTTTGTGCAAAAACAACAATGTAGCAAGAAATGGACTTAGATTTTGCTTGTGTCAAATTGATGATATTTCTTTTAGTGCTTGGCACAAACTTGTAAGACCTTGTTAATATTTCTGCGATTGATTTCTTCTCGCCTTGCCACATTTTGGGACCAAAATCAAACTGATTATATTTGGACTGAATGTGCCAAGGGTCAACTCAAGACCACCCAAGTACTTAAAGAAATATAAAAGTAGAGCCATCCTCTCCTTAAGATGCCAAAAGAGCTTGGCTTGATCTAGTCATTGAGTAAATCAATTGAAGGACGGGAATTACTCATGTCTAATCAATTGAAGGATGAGAGCCAAACACCCATTCACAAGTATTCGACGCCCTTCTGATTACTTCACTTTCACTTTCTAACGATGCATTTTAAAGAGTACAAATTCTTGGAGTCTCATCAGCATAGCTGACGACATTAAAAATCCACACTGTTCTGTCAATTGAGACAGCCATAAACTCAAGCTACGCAGATGGTGGTGATAGGCCCGGCCGATAGGGTCCATAGAATTGATCTCTTTTAATCGGCTTTAGTGTCTTGATTTCAAATGTGATTTAGTATGGCATGGTGCACTATAATCCAGAGTCCTTTATCAGGCTTCAAAAAGACTGATGCCCATATGAGTTTGGGTGGGTTACAAACTTGCAACTTACAATAGGGTTAAAAATTGCCACCCCTAATTCTTACCATTAAATTATACCACACTTGGTTCAAACCTTTCAATTAATCTGTCCTTTAAGTCTTTGCAAAAAAGCATAAAAAAAAAAAAAAATCATCTGATTGACAGGATTCAAAATCAAGCCACCCATGTTAGATAACGAGTTCTAACCACTAGACTTTAGCATAATAAGGTGCTAAATAAACTTAGTTTTTTGAGGCACCCTAATTAATTTTGCCATTTCCAAACATTTCTTGAAGCGTAGCATCCTAGTAATAAACACTTCACTCAAACTATTATAAGGTGTTTTATTGTGCGTGTACAACTTAATAATCATTTAAGTCAGACTCAGTGTTACCAATGCATTTGTGAATTTATATGAACATATCCATGTGCATCATATTCATTCTGCCATATCCACGCATTTATTCAAATATGTTACTCGTGCATGCACATCTTATTTAATTAAAGTTATTTGAGATTTGTTTTATCATGTGTTTCATCATATTTATCATGTGTTTCTTAAACATATCCTTATACATCTCCCAAAATCATCTTTCCAATACTCTTATGAAATCAATACTTCGAACCTTGTCCTCCATTGGAATTATAGATGAATATACCCTTCTATGGTCCAAGCCTTCCCGATTCAGTCACCTGAACCATGGAAATAGAACGTTGCTAATCTTTCAACTTGCTACGAGGACATCATGTTCACCTAGGCGGGTGAGGCTAGACAGCCCAATGATAATTTTATGATTTTATCTATGACTAGATAAAAAGATTAACTCTTTTAACATTTTAGGGATAATTCAAGAAAGGATTCTAATATGTGCTAATTTTACACTGCATCTTCCTGAATTCTTCAAGCAATGGGATCTCTAGATAATGTACAAATGACCAAATAAATATCAGATCCACAGCTGACCAACCTGCATTGCTGAAGCAACAACTTTACAATATTGAGTCTCTCTCAAATGATGTGCAAGTTCAAAAATACCGTAAACAATTATACAGGCTCCTAATCTTAGTTTCATTAGTGTGTAAAACTGTCATCTTGAACCCAAGCCAAGAGGGGAAACAGAAAGATGAACAAGAAGATGAAAACAGTATAATCGTTGATCTTCCTTGATGGTTGTCCCTGTAGACTGATGGATCTGTAATGCTTCATCGACCAACCTGGCTGTCCTTTTTTATCCTAGCAAAATTTAACTCTGATTAAATTAGTGGGACTGTGCCTCAAGGAGGATGTTTGTCGCTACATTAATGTCATTTCTAGCGTGCACGAGTGCCTGCCTTGCTGAGTTTCTGTCAAAACCCATTGACACCAGTGTAGCAATGGAATCCTCGGGTGGCTCTGTTGTGGAAGCATGGAGAGTAGCAGGATAGTTTCTCTGCAGCCAACTAAGAAAATAAGTAGTTGCATATAGACAATAATAATACATCTAAAATTACAAATTCATGCAGAGAAACAATTACTAATGTTGCAAATATAAAAACTTTGAAGATGGAACATAGAAGGAAAAGAAGAAATTTGCATCCTGATCTTGGATTCTATCTTGGCTTCATGATTCAGGAAAGATTTTCAACTCGAAAAATCTGGAAGTTGAAAATAAATAGGGACAGTGACCAGACTCCAGAGAACCAGAATAATAAAATCCATCATAGAGATTAGGCATCAAATATGTCACACTAACAGCAATTCATTAGTTTGTAAAGTTCTCTAACCTATGAGTTACTAGGAAGTAATTAGGAAAATTAATCATTTAATTTCATGAAACTAGTAAAAAGCCAGTGATAGTCTTGAAGCATTAGAAATTGACCTACCGCAAAAATGGCTTTTTTTTTTCCAATAAGAACAGAAAAGAACAACTTAGCATTTGTAATTACATTAACATCCCTCAATCCTTACGGTATTTTAAAAGGATTTTCCTACAGTTTCAGCAATGGTGGGCTATCTGAAGAGGACATAATCAGACCTGTAAATACTAAATACCAAAGGGAAGTTTAGATCTAAAGTGGGAGATGAACAAAATTCAAACTTATGTTCTATTCTAGGTTTATTAGGAAGTCAATATACCATTAAAAGGTGTAAGAACATTACAATATGGAAAAAGGTGTGCAGCTTTTGAAAATGGAATTGTTTCGGTTCATGAGAATCACATGCCCTAAATACACTATGAGAAGCATTAGAAATTCAAGTAGAGCCAATTAGTGAGAAAAGATTTGTAAGATCGCCAATTAAGAGAAGATATGGCTTCAGATGAGCAGAATGGAGAAACATGATCCTGCATTTAAACCCCACCTAGGTGTGTAATTATAATATATGGTGTCTTAGTTTACTTCAAAATTGTTTTAAGTTTCCACACAATATGAAGTTCAATATATTTTAAGCATGTTATTATATTTATGAATTTGATTACTTCAGCATGTTATCCTACAGCTTTATGCTTATTGAGTATCCTGTTCTGTGCCCTTGCTACATTATAGACAATAAGACAAGTAGAAAAAACATATGATTTTCAATTTTTCATGCATTAATGACTTAATGTTGGACTTCTGAAATGCCAATGGATAAGTACGAATGTACAACTCAGGGACCCATGGTCACAAGCAAGTATTGGTGCCTAGGGTTGCTTAGTCACCTTGAGAACCCAGATGAATATAAACAACTTGAAATAAAGACAGAAAAGGAAAAAACATAGAACTGAAGGCATAATTATTGCTTTCAAAAAGATCCAACATGATACTTATCAGAATAATCAAACACAAACAATTTCTTTAATAAAGACAAGCAAAATGTCCATGGAGCACAACTTGCCTCCACTTGGCGGCCCACGAAAGAAGGTGCAGTCCCAGTAATATTCCTGCTTGATGATCTTGGAGATGAACCTCCCGGATAAAGCCCATAGAGGCGTGAAAAAAATGAAGTGACAAACTCTGGAAACTGTGAAATATAAAAAATGCAAATCCACTAATGAGCATACCACAGTCAAATCTTCCAAATTGAAACTATAAATCTATTACTATCATAATAGGGATGTTAGAACTTAGAAAGTTGATGGTATATTGGATAAGTTAGCTACTTCCTTTTTTATTCATAATACATTAAGGCCCCGTTTGGTTCGCAGGAATAGGTGTCTGGAATCGGAATTAGAATGGACTATTCCGATTCCAGCTGTTTGGTTGGGCAGAATCGGAATCCCATTCCCGTTCCTGCTGGAATGGCAATCCTCCATTTGAGGGAATGACCATTCCCTTCCCCTCTCTTGGGAATGAAATCTCATTCCTGCTGATTCCAATTCCTATTCCCACTCCTGTCTGAACCAGACAGACTATGGGAATAGGCCATTCTGATTCCAATTTCAATTCCGATTCCGACTGCGAACCAAACAGACCCTAAATGTTTTACAAGATTCATATCAATACTCAATAAGAAAAAGAATATACAAATACACATCAATATAAAAATCTAAGATAAAGAAAGCATAACAATGATATATTGGATAAACTCAACAAACCTTTAACAAAAAAAGTAGATAACTGTTACTCAATAACTTAATTTTTATTAGTCTACCACCATAATAAACAAAGTCTGAAAAGGTTGAAGCATGCATACATGCTTTTAAGTTCATAATTGATGCAGACATCAGAAAATTTGATAACACTATGATCAAATAATAGAGACAACTAGACAAGAAATTCTATACATCCAATGTCATATATAAATAACAAGTTAATAACATCACTGTAAAGTCTCAATTGTAGTTAATTTAACCTGTTGTAACAGGGTCCTTGACAAAAGTGTCTTGGAGCAGATAAAATCTATATGGGTGGACTATCATTATTGTTCAAGCTGACAAGAAAATTCAAGAAACTTAGGCTGCATTTGGTACGAGTGCAAAATTAAGCTTATGATGGCAATGACCACATGATTACAACATTACAATCCAAACCCATGGAGCATGGTCATTTGGTTAGAGAGCTGTACACTCTAAGAGTTAAGAATGGGGAAAGACTTTAGTTATCATGAGCTGTTGTTGGTAGAGAGGGATTCAAAAGATAGTGGGGTGGTTCAAAAATAATAGTGCGAGTCCATTGCAATATAGACACATCCTAAGAGAAATCAGATACTAGCTAGAAAGATAGAAACTGGTTTATATGGGCACAAAGATCATGTAATTGTATGGCAGATATACTGGCCAAGCAAGGGGTTAACAAGACACCAATGTAGGGGGATGATTCCTAGGGAAACTGAAAGATAATGTAATACACTGTTTTAAGAAGTGCTGGAGGTGTGCCTCCAGGGGTACACCTCCATGCGAGGTGCTAAGAAAATGCATGGAGGTGCACCCTAGATGCATATAGACCTTTGAAGCATATACCTCCAGCATAAAGGTGTACTCTTCCTGCCTAGAGGCATATGAAACGTACACATCTCTTGCACTTTATACAAGAGGCTTACACCTTATATGTTTTTATATCTAAGACAATTTTTATAATAAAAATGTTAAAAATAAAATGGGGGAACCATTATATATTAACATAATGCAGAGGATGAAAACCCTCCAAATTTATGTATTGTAATATTATCAAAATGCTCTTGTACAGATTTTCTGGCTCGCCCCCACACTTCCCTATGCCCCCAAACCACCACCAAGGGGCACATGCCCCCAGACTTAAAAAAACTATTCATAGTGCACTATATATGAACACAACCACTAAGACCATAACATCAGTTTTATTGATCAGCACCATAACAGCAAAATAAAAAACATGTACACATATATGCCTCCTTATGCTCAGGAGGCCTACGCCTCTTCTGTTCTAAACTACATGTCACACCTCTAAGTAGTGGAACTCCTTGCTTCACGCCTCTGCATTTTAAAACATTGTTAATACAATAAATGGAGTAAAACGGGCAATTGGTTAGATAGCAGGGCTACTCTAAAATAGTGGGATGCTTGTCATATTCCTATATGCATAACATAGAGACACACAAACATACACTAAAATGGTATTGTTCATGCCAATAGAATTCTTTTTTCTGGTATTTTTTGAGTTTTTCTTATGTTTTTGTTGTTTTTAATTTTTTTGATGATTAACTGTATCATCATCATCATCATCACCCATGCCTCATCCCAACTATATGGGGTTGGCTAAATGAATATTGTTTCATCAATCTGTTCTATTTAAAGCCATATCCACTGTTAAACTACTAGTCTTTAAAACATTTCTTACTACTTCTACCCATGTTCTTTTTGGTCTACCCCTAGCTCTTCTAGCCCATTCCACTTGTAACAAATCACTTCTTCTAACTGGATCTGTTGGTAGTCTTCCATGCATGTGACCAAACCATTAGTCTACTCTCTCTCATTTTATCATTTATTGGAGCTACTCCTAGGTTCCTACAGATGACTTCATTCCTGAGCCTGTCCTTCCTAGTTTTTCAACTCATCCATCTTAGCATTTGCATTTCTACCACACTCATTTTCTAGACATATTTCTTGACTACCCAACACTTTGTTCCATAGTCCATACAACATAGCTGGCCTTACAACTGTTTTATAGAATTTTCCTTTTAATCTAAGTGGAATTTGCCTATTACACAAAAGTCCAGATGCACCACTCTATTTTGTCCAACCTGCTCTAATTCTTTGGATGATGTCCTCCTCAATCTCTCTCTTGTTATGAATTATTGAAGCAAGGTATCAGAAATGGTCACATTGAGTTATCTCTTGGTCTCCAATACAAAGTGTATCCTGATTTACACTCCTATTATTACTAAATTTACATGTCAAATGTCATATATAGTCCTACTATGGGGTTCCAACAATTACTGCTTCTAGGATTATCTCCAAAAGGTAAACCCAAATAACTCATAGACCATTGAGCAACAACACAACCCAAAGTTCCAGCACTCTAATATTTATCTCTCCTCCATGTTCACTCCCACAATAGATCTTTTATCCAAATTGACCTTCAAATTAGACATTTGCTCAAAGATATAAATAATCAGCTTCAAGTTCCTCACCCACCTGAGATCACCACCCTTACAAAAGAGTATTGTGTCATCAGCAAATTGTAAGTGAGTTAATGGAATCCAATTCCTTCCAACTCTCCATCCCCTCACCAAATTTCTGGAGTCAGCCCTATAAATTAATTTTCCAAGGGCCCCAGCAACTAGAGTAAACAGGAACGGAGAGAGAAGGTCCCCTTGCCTCAATCCTCCTAAGACATTCTTTGCTACTTTCTTTATATTGTTTCTCGTTTCAAGCCAAATATAATCAACCTATTTCTAAATTGAGCTACCTTCTCCTTTTAGGGTTTCCCACCTCATTCTTGGACACCTATTTTCTTCCCTATTTCTCTTTCATTTCCTAATATGCACATCTACTACCACTAAGCACTAATCATAGTTTCCAAAGCACCAAGGTGAGGTTAGGTGACAGGGGGTGCTTTATCACCTAGTCACCTAGGTGATGGGTTTTAAGTAAAAAACTAATAACCTAGGGTAGTTCCCTAGGTTCCATAACCATAATTCCTATCTAATTATCCATAATTTTCATAAGAAAAATGTAAACTTCATATTAAAGTATAGAAAATCAACATGTTTGTGAGAAGAAAAAGAAAGAAAAGAAAATTCAAAAAATATAGGGGCTGAACCCCTATTAGACAAAATTTTAAGTTCCTCCTTATTAGTTCAGGTTTTGAAGTCTTTGAGGGTTCAATACAGCATTTAGCTATGTCTGTGTTGATTAAACCCTAACAAATAAGAAAATAATCAAAAGAAATTAGTATATAAACACAAGATGAATATTTTAGTTTAATAATGTATATTTTAAAATTATAATCTCAAAAAATTAAGAATATAAAAGTATTTTATAGCACAATGTACAAAACTGCTTGGCGAGTAGGCAAGGCAAGCCTCCAAGGGCACCTTGTTGCCTAGGCGTTGTTGCCTTGACAACTATGCCACTAATGCAAGTTGATAACTGTATGGCTGTATGCATTTCATTCAAAAGGAAAAACATCCTACTACTTACAAGAAGGCAGCAGAACCATAAGTAAGAAAGCTTGCCACAACATAACCTTAATAGAGCAATAAAAAAAACAGACTTTTACAAGATACACCCCAGCCCTAGACAACCCAAAACTAGTAATTCTCTCCCAACCCCTAATCTTTCCAAAGAATCTGCCACCATGTTTGCACTTCTAGGAGCCCATTTGAATGAGATGTTCAACATAGCACCTAAGGATTTAACCAGCCTCACCAATGGCCTGAACACCCACGGAGCATGTAGTTGTGTTTCCATCCAACCTATAACAGTTTGACAGTCTCCTTCCACAATCACACCCCTCAATCCATGCTGCCAAAGCAATTTTAAACCTTGAATTAGAAACAGTTCAGCTTCAGAGATTAGCTTGACCTGCATGTCCTAAGAAGCTTAGTATTATGTTACCACCATGATCTCTCACCACACCTCCCACCACCCCAGATGGTCTTGGTTTTCCAACACAGCAGCCAAAAAAAGTTGAATTTAACCATCCCTGTTCCTGGAGGGCTCCACTCCAACATCTTTTTCTGTTTATTCGATTGAAAACCAGCTAAAATCTGCCATTCCCTCTATCATTTAAGCTCACCACTTCGAACTCTTCCATGACAAAAGCCCAATGAGCAACTCTTATCATTGTTAGCTCTACCACCTCTTCAACCTGCATATGTTCTAAAAAATTCTTGCATTTCTTTCACACCACAACCCCCACAAAACTCTCCCTTGCACACATTGCCAAAGAATCCTTTGTCTTCAAGTGGAGTTACCTATTATATCTGTCTTGAACAGATCCAAAACTTCAGATGGTAGCTCCCACACCTTTCCAACCAAAGAACACAAACATTGTCAAATGGCTCAAATTATAGAGGCATGGGAGCAATGTAACAATATCTGGTTGTTTTTAAAATTGAACAAAATAACTCGAGTATCCAATCACTTTTAAGATTTTTCCCATTCTCTCTCCTCATTAACTCACTGCTAACTCTCTCTCTTTCTCCTCTTCTCATCGACTCCTCCAATTACCTATCCTTATTAATCACACTATTAACTCTCTACCCTCCAATAACTCTAATTCTCTTGCCTCTCAATTATCCCATTAAATTGCCTAAAAACAATAGTTTTTTAATTTAAAACCCATCATACAAATTTATCTAACAATAATTAACCCAAAAATAATACTTGGGTTGGACTTGGACTGGTTCTCCCCAAATGAGAATGTCTTTCTACTTTAATTTCACTTACATAGCCCATGTATTGCAAACACTAATTAATAAAAATTAAATCCATTTACATTTAATCTAAAAAGAGTAAAAAAATAATACGAAATTTTCTAACAATAATAAAAGTAATAACATTAATTAAAACAATAAAAATTAATGATAATTTATACAAATTTATCAAACAATACCTAACAAAAAAATAATACTCAGTGTGGAATTGATCTGGATTAGCTCAATTAGGAAACGTCAAAAGACCTCTTCCATCTCACTTTTCTTAACAAAGCCCGTGCATTGTTTGGGTCCCGACTAGTTCTTTCCATAAATTAATAATGTTTCAGTTAATGATTGGAGGAAAAAAAAAACATAATTGGGGAAACATGGATGTTTTATCCAATGAATACTCTGTAGGCTCTCTTCATTGCTATTGGATAAATAAATTCCAATACAATGAAACTTCATTGGAAAGATGGGACAGCAAGTATGTGGGTAAACAGGGCCTTCAATCCATGCCATGGTAGCAAATATGTCAAAAGCAAATGTTTCCAGAGATGTGAATATTGTCAATATAGCAACTTATTGGGATATAATTCCATAGAACATATTTAACCAGCAATGCAAATTAGAAGCCTTAGTGAAAAAGCTGTTGGCATTGAACTTATTGGAACATAATTCCACAGAACATATGGAACATTTTTAACCAGCAATGCATATTAGAAGCCTTAGTGAAAAAGATGTTGCCGTCGAACTTATTGGGATATAATTCCATAGAACATATTTAACCAGCCATGCATATTATATTAGAAGCAGCAATGAAAATTTTGTTGTATATCCTTCCATCTTTTTGTTAATGAAAGTTACCTTTTTTCTCAAAAAAAAAAAGAAAAATTGTTGGCATTCAAGCTAGAGAGAAAGAGAAGTAAAAAATTACCTTCATTCTGCGAATGTGAAGAATATTAAGGCGATAGAGAGAACCAGCAAGAATGCCACACATTCCTGGTATAACAGACCTTCTCAAGGATGATAAAAGAAGCTGCCATATAAAGATTAATGTACATAATCAGGTCATGAAATATCAAAGGAAGAGATAGGCTTGTCTAAATCAAACCTATGCAACATACACATAAACATTAACAAAAAGAAAAAAAAAAAAAAAAGAATGAGAGAGAGAGAGAAACAAAGAAAGAACACATGGGCATTTTACCTGAAGACCAGCTAAATATATGAACGACTTGTCAGAAAAGTTAATACCAAATATACGGAACCGGGTTGAAACTGGAATGTCAAAGTAGAAGGGCACAAATGAAGAAAAAATAAGGCCATAGGGTCCAGATGCCAGAATGTTTAAGGTAGGATCTGCAGAAACAAAGAAACAAAATGGATCCTCACACTAATCTTCACTTGGCAAGTTGGCACTTGGCATCCAAACAGTAAAACATAAATAAACAAATAAATGATGAATAAAAACAATCAAGTCAAGACAGTCAAGCATGCCAATATTCGACTTCTACTCTGATGGTACATAAACACACACACACACACACAAGGAAGAAAAGAGCTATGGAGTGTTGAGCTCAATGTTGGTTCATATAAACCTGGAGGGTTCATGGGGGCAAATATGGCAGATTTTGGATGCATGGATATATTCCACAAAAGAAGAAATGATAATAATAACATATGAAAAAGAAAGAAAAAAAAAATCCAAACTAAGTTATAGATCCATCATTTCACTTTCTTTCAAAGTTTTCTGTTTGACATACCCAAGTTTTTAGTTCTAATACGAGGAAGATTATTTGATTTCCCATCCAACTGGATTAACAGGGAAAAGCTGGACTGGAACCACCTAAATCTGATCCAGATCCAAATCTACATTGGAATTACAATATCCACAACTAGGTCTGATTAGGATCTTATAATTACAATATCCAACCTGCTCCATTCAGCTATATGGTTGGACCCAGGTTGGACCTTAAGGGTTTCAAACCTGATCTGGGATCTATATAGAATCCAAATTATATTGAATCCAGAAATTCTTAAATTGGTGTAGGAATCGGAGAACTGAATTATTTCTCCATGGTTCTTTCCTTGCTTCCACATATGCATTAGTGTTGCCCTTGGGAAGAATAAGGTTGCTCGTTGGCTTTGAAGTTTTGGTTCTTTTATAATCTCTTTGATACCATTGGATTTTCTGTTCGTCCTCACACATAGACATAGGCATATTGTTGAACCACATAAATATTGTATTTATGTGGTTTGTTATTTTCTATTATTTTCTCTATTTCTTGTGATTCCATCAAACCATTGATTGTGTTTCAACACAACATAAAAAATATGCAGCATAAAAATAACGTACCACAGATTGAATAATTTAGTTGGCGGAGAAAGAAAACTAGTGTATTGTTCAAAAAGAAGCACGAGGCGATCAGACAAGGCATCAGAAGAACACTTATAGTCGGACCTCAAAAGTATCCAAAGCATAAGACCCTGATGATCAGCCTCTAGAAACCAATAAATAAATAAATAAATACTGTTTCTGTCTCTGTACATCCCAAGGAACATTCATGATTCTGACTCAGAAAAGCAAAATAATTCTTTATGGGTAAAGAAGATAAATTTATTCTAGGAAATACTCAATCTGGTACGACCACTGATTTGAACTCAGGAAAAGAAATGGTAATGAATTAAGATTACCATTGTGATCGGTCCTGGACAACATTTTGAGTCCAATTATAATAGATTCAAGTTCCGGATCTACCTTTTGAGTCCCAATTCTGGATTGGTTTTACTGATTTCATCCCAATTATGACTGGAATTAATTATAAGATGTCTAAAATTATTAGTTTATAATGGATATCTAACTATCTAAGAAACTTAGAGATGAGAGAGAAAGATAATTAGTTGATTTAGTATCAAATTTCCACTGTCAATTATAACTGGGTCTTGAAGCAAAATATATATATATATATATAACTGGGTCTTATCAGTCAGAATAGAAATGCCTAAATTAATTATAGGATTTCTAGGTCTTTTGCTTATAGACCCTACAGGGTTAGGATCAGAAATGAGTAAGGGTAAGGACCAAGTCTACCATGACCCAGCTCAGACCCAACCCACGGACAACACTAGTTAAGAGAAATTACTATCAAGGAATAATGGGAATTTCATGTATGAATCATTATCATCATCTAAGCCTTGTCCCAACTATATGGGCTCAGCTAAACGAATCCTGTTTCACCATTCTGTTCTGTTCAGTGTCATATCAATTGTTAAATTATGGGCATTTAAATGAATTTCAGGTATGAACATAAAGAGTTAAAACAAGAAAAAAAGACATTTAGACCAAAAGGACAAGGATTGTAGTAGTAAGAAATGATTTAAGCGCTCATAATTTAACAATGGATATGGCACGGAACAGAATGGAATGGGTGAAACAGATTCTTTTTTTGAGGGGTAAATAGTGAAACAGGATTCATGTAGCTGACATCATATAGTTAGGACAAGGCTTAGATGATGATGATGAGACGAGAAAATTAACAGGTTAGAGTATATTGCTTCCAAGTAGTACAACAAGATTAAGGGGCTACCACTGTAATTAACTGAAGCATCCATTGAAATTTTAGAATCATGTATACCTTTAAGGAATGCCAATGTGAGGACCTCAAACAGTGATGAAATTATCACAGAGAACAAGATGAAGACCTGTAGGCAGAAGTATGAACAAAAATGATTAACTCAAAATAAGAGAACAAAATTTGAGTCTTTTTTTTTATCATTAAGAAGAATCAAATCATAGAAAATAAAAATGCTTTTATTACCACATTAAGAAGAATCTTGTTTTATTATATTAATACTTACCTTTTCATCACATGGATAGAGACACGTTTTTGAAATAAGTCAGTTGTTCTTAATTTCTTCATGTGCACATAATTGTATATTTGAATGTGAAATAATCAATGAATAACTTAAGAAACAATTGACACAAATACATTACATTATCATTTCTAATCTATGAAGTGACTTTTTATTTTGTAGTTCTAGAACAATTCTTTATCAATTAACAGTAAATCACACCAACCATTATAAAGTCAGTGTTCCCATCTATCAGAAAAGGACATGCACAGAACCAATAAAAAATGGTGTCCACAAATCACCACCCAGTGTTAATATTATTAAAATACCATTTTATTTAGTACATCTAATAATATTCCAGGAATGGGCAACCATCTGAACTGGTCCACTTTAATTTGATTTAGGGTGGCAATCTAACAAGAATTCATTCTCATGGGGAATTTTCTAATATAAAAATAAATAAATAAAGGCCATTACCCAATGTTGATCCATTTATCTGGGGTCTTGGGAGGGTAGACTGGATATGGTTCTAAACTTGGGCGTTTGCACAAAGTGGCTGCTCTCAGACTCAAAGCTGGATTTTCACACTCATGTTTGCCAACCTGAGATTTTGCCACCGATGGCCCCCAAGGAAGTTTTCTACTATATATATATGTCCTATCTGACATATGTCCTATCTGACAGCAATTCATTGGGTGTATTGGTGATTTTCAGGGTTGTAAATCAACAGATAACAGTCATAGTTTTCAAGGCACCAAGGCGAGGCTAGGCGCCTTATCGCCTAGGCGATGGATTTTTTTTAAGTAAAACCATATGTCCTAGGGTAGTTCCCTAGGTTCCATAACCATCTTTCCTTAATAATTATTCATAATTTTCATAAGAGAAGTATAAATTTCATGTTTAAGTCTAGAAAAATCAACATTTTATGAGAAGAAAAAGAACAAAGGAAAGAAAATTCAAAAAGTATAGGGGCTGAACCCCTACTTTTGTTATAGGAAAGAAGAAAAGAAAAGGTGGAAGAAGAAGAAGAAGTGAAAGAAGAAAATGTGTTGGTTAGACAAAATTTTAAGTTCTTCCCTTGCTTATTGGTTCAGGTTTTGAAATTTTTGAGGGTTCAATCAAGGATCAAAATTTCGATACAATACGCCCCGTATCGGGTGTATTGTATTGTATTTTTGAGATTCCGATACCTGTTTACAGGTGTTTTCGGGGAGCCATTTTTTAAATAATATATATTTAAAAATGAAATTAGAAACCAAAGAAATGAAAAAAATAGGGGGAGTATCGTTATAAGTACCGATACACCTCTGCCAATACATAGAGGTGTATCAATACTCTGAACCATGGGTTCAATACAGCAGTTAGCAATGTTTGCGTTGATTAAACCCTAACAAAATAAGAAAAYAWTAAAAAGAAATTAGTATATAAACACATAAAATGAATATTCTAGTTTAATAATGTATATTTTATAATTATAATGTCAAAAAATTAAAATATAAAAGTATTTTATAATCCAGTGCACAAAAATGCTTGGCGACTGGGCGAGGCAAGCCTCCAAGGGCGCCTTGTCGCCTAGGCGTTGCCTTGACAACTATGATACCAGTATTGCACATCTATACATGATTGAGGATGCGATTGACTCCTAGCTTTTATCTAATCTTCAATAATTGATATATCTAGCTGGGCCGTGAAATATCTAGCCCTTCATCTTCAAGCCACAACCTTAAAGCACGCACTTGGCCTTTGGGATCTTATCATTGAGAGATTACCTATCCCAGAGGAGATCACCCAATGGACTGGCTGACCTACAATTCTTCTTCACTTCACTCACCCCTTCCCTAGCCAAGGAATCTGCTAATGAATTTGCAAAGCTTTGTCCCCATCTGAACAAGGTATTCTATCCATTTTCAAGTTTGAAACAGAACTTGATGGATTCACAATAAGAAATACTGCTTTATGTATTGGAGATTTTATGACAGCAAACACTTTTTTTACTTGAGAAAGTATTGTATTACAATAGCCAAAAAATTATATCAGCCCATGTACATTGAGATGAGAAGCTATACAGTTGGAATGTACAAGAGTATTCTATAACAGCAAACTCTTAGAGAGATCTCAAATTGGACGATGACAAATTCCCATCCGTTCAACATTGAATATATTGACCAGCATACATGAACTCAGGGAATTAAGATTCTCGAACAGCCTTGTCCTAGTGTAATAGGATCTAATGAATTTCCAATTTTACATTTTTCCAACCTATAAAACCCTAATATCAAGTTGCTTCTGTTCCTATGTTGTATCATATTTTCCTAAACCTACATCAAAAACCCATTGTCACCATTAAAAACTATGTCAATAAGATCACAAAGACCCAAAAGGTGTTTATAAGGAGGTTATGTAGCAAAAATAAAAAGAGGTTGTGTAGAAGATAAAGGGAGAGCCCTTTGGTAGAGCGAATCATTCTGTTCCATAGTTCCCCATTAGCTGCAAGAAGGTATAAACTTTGTTTCTAATTTATTTGATTTCTTTTTCTTTCATTTTTGTTGAAGTCATCCAACTTCTTCGATGAAAACATCAATAAAAAAGCATAGAGATTGCAAGTTGGTCATATCATGGACAAAGAACACAAATGTGAAATGCAAATCCAATATAAATATCAAACTTGGATGGTTCTTAATAATTTATCTTAATGATCAAAAGGTATATAACTCGAACAGCACAAAAAATTATCAAGAACCTTTAATTCTCTTAGCAGTCTTCTAAGCAGTTTAGTTTAATCAATTACTTACTGAATATTTATTAGACCCTATCTGTCTTTCAAAAACCCTGAAGTAGTAAAGAAGATACAATTAGTTTAATCAATTACTTACTGAATATTTATTAGACCCTATCTGTCTTTCAAAAACCCTGAAGTAGTAAAGAAGATACAATCCAAACATCAGTTCTGGTGTTGATGAGAAGGTAATAAATGATGCCAGAAACCTCCAGAGGTGAAGCTTTCCAAAAACATCCTGTGATAACAAAAAAGTAGATTTGGTGGTAAGTCATCAATTCTAGTTAACCCTCAAACAATAAGCAATGGTATTTTAGAATCTGCACTTTCCAACCATATCTGACTTTAAAAAGATCAACGGAGTAATGTGAGACCTACAGGACTACTAAAACAGTAAGATATTATCAAAACTTCTACCTGACAATGTGCAAGGACTACTCTCTCTCTCTCTTTCTCTCAATAAGTAATTTGAAACTTTATTAAGTGAAAAGAGGAAATGTACATATAGAATAATCAATTCATGGAGAGGTACAAGATGCTACCTCTCCAGAGCTATATTTACATTACAACTGAACCCAATACAATTTTTCTCTATTATGGTTTAAAACGTCCCTAATTTCCCTAATATTTCCACGACACATTTCCATTTCCATGGGTAGCGACATGAAATTTTACTGGAATCGACATTTCCCCAATGAACACTACCAGACTTATGTGGAGTACAAGAGATAGTACCCACGACATATTTCCATTTTCACTTCCATGGGTAGCAACATGTAATTTTACTAGAATTGACATATTCCTTTTGAACACTACCAGTACTATGTGGGATACAAAAGATAGTATTATAACATAAGTTGGTGACAATATTGTAGATATGTGAAGTAACAAGTTTTTGTCCACGTAACTTACATGATTACAACTTTGAGCTAGCTCTATATTCATTTCAAACATGAAGTTAAATAATAGTTTTTGTTTCTGTAGTAGATTATTTGGTTGATCTGTTACAACCATTTACATTTTCTATGAGTTTAAATTTTGCTTTAATTAATTCTATCATGAAGTTCTAAAGCTTAAGGTTACAAGGCAACTTCAGAACGCATTCTTTTGTCTATAATCCTAGTTTCTTAGTTTTGTTTAATAACTTGGAACAAGACAATAATTTAAAAAGGTGTGCATATGCTTCTTTTGACATTTCATAAAATATCATTCTATATTTTGCATATTTTACAATGTTTCCACCATGTCTATTTTTTTTTTTATTGGAAATGGTAACTTTCATTAGTGATATCAAATAAACATCTTGCACTGTCAACCACTCAAACAAAGAGTGTTGACCCCAAAATAACATCAAGAATTACAGTACAGCCCAAAAGAAGTTTTCCCTGAAGGTCCCCTGTTTCCACCATGTCTATAATTTTTACAATATTTCCATATGACATTTCCGACATTTTCTTATATTTGGATGACCAACATTTCCACCGACATCGACATTTTAAACCTTGCTATTAACCCCTGCTTAGTTAATATGCCAGTCAACGCATTAGAAGACCTTTGGACCCACTTATCCTTGACACCATATTGCCAGTAGGCCATTTGAATTTTTTAAACTAAATCATCCAGGTTCCTTATCCATCCTACTACCACCTTTGAGCCCCCTTCAATTGGTCATGAAAACAAAGCAAGAATGTGACCTTGTTCATTTCTAAACACTCCCCCTATTCCAAAAGGACCTAGATTACCTTGACTACTTCCATCAAAGTTTAACAAAATAAATCCATCCAATAGGAGGTGACCAAGATTTACAAGCAGATTTCTTTCTTGAGGAACTTCTTGCCACCTCCCCCCATTTTCTCCACATATCATCATAGGACTAGAGGTGAGAATATTTCCATTTTTCTTACCCAATGTATCACCCTAGTCAATACGCATCCCATTACTACTTCCTTACTTCTTTCCTTCTCCAACAATATTCTTGCACTCCTTTCCTCCAAAATTGTCCAAATCAAACTCCCCCCGTACATCCCAACACTCTTCTCTTCTTAGGCCATGTAAAGACAGAAGAGTCAAACAACTTGTTAATATCCATAGCAATAGTTCACATGCACCCAAATAAAGCATAGAACGAACCAATCCCAAATACAAGTAACAACTTTACAGGAGATTGTTAGGTGGAGCAAATCTCACAACTAGCTATGCAGAGAATGCACCAGCTCAGAGATAAGGATGTATTTGGCCTTCTTTTTTGCAACAAATCCATAGTATTGATCTTCCCAAATACTCTTCAAAACAAAAGGATCGAAGTTTGGGAGGGATGGTCTATGCCAAACATCTTTTACAAGAAAAATTCCTTTATATCTTTCTACTGCTCTTATTTTAAAGATCCATCCAAAAATCATTCACCTCTATTGGTGTCTCTTTTTATAATCAATAACAGCCAAATTTTAGTGCTGAATCTGATAAAATAGAAAGGAGTGTACGAAGTATAGAAATACAAAGGTGTAAAGTAGGTCAGTGAGAGATAAAATCTCTCTTGATTTCTCATTGTAAAGTGATCTGGCTTTTGACCCTAGACCCCCTAAAAATGGGAAAAACTTTGGCTGTTAGGAACATTCTTGGGTATGACATGTTACCATGGGTGTGGGATAAGAGTAATTTCCCTCAATATGCTTTTGATCAAAAAGAAAAGCAGGGGACTGAATGGGTTGATGTGTCATACTCATACCCAAGAATGGCCTCCAACAGCCAAATTTTTCTCCTAAAAAAATGAGCTCTATGTTGGGAAACTATGCATCAAAAGAGTCAACACCTGCGAGATACTTCAGCACAAAAGGAAAATTTACTCTATATCTCCCTACAAGTGTAGTTTCCATAGGTCTAACAGTGAGGCAACAATGTCAACTCCTTGTTATGGTGCCCCCAGTTTCAGGGATATTAAAAAAAAATATTCTAGCCCTCTGTGATATCTACTGGAAGCTGCTATCTGATATTCCTCATCTATTTGGATCTGTTTTTATAAAAGAGGAAAGACAATGTGTACAGATGCAACAACAGCTATATTTTACACCACTTGGAAAGAGAGGAACTGAAGAGTCTTCTCAAATAAGAAATGACATCTGATATTTTAACTGATATTATCCTTAGCTTATACTTGTGATTTTTTTCTTGCCAAGAGCCTTTAAGTTTCTATTTGATTGTTGAGCTATTTAAATTGTTTAGATGTAGGGTTGGTTTCCTAAGGGTATTCAGAAAGGTAGTGGGTCCAGGCTTTTTACTTTTCTTGGTTTTATCTATGTTTAGGTAGGGATGAGCATTATTCGGTTAAAACCGAAAATTTCGGTTTTGGTTTTTTCGGTTTTGTAAAATTTCAGTTTTGGTTTTGGTTTTGGTTTCGGTTTTCAGG